TGTGGAATTTCGGCACACTGATTTTTATCTTTAAAAACTAAAAATCCATTTTCCACACTGTTTGTATTTTTTTTATTTTTATATTTTTTTGTCTTTAATATTTAAGCGAATACAAGTTTTTATCTATATTGGATTGTGGCTATCGAAATATTAATAATTGTCTTTGTAATTTTAAATTTTAATAATTTTGATTTTTTCACTTTTGGACATTTTATAATATCAAACATGATTTTTTTAATTTAATCTTTTTATATTTAGACCTTTTGAATATTAAAATTGTTTATACAAAATCGGCAGTAAAATAGTCAACAATCGGCAGTAAAGTAAAAGAAATCGGCAGTAAAGTAGAACTTTACTGCCGATTTAATACGAGTATTGTATGCAACCCATTATACATTTTAAGATGTGTCTAGTAGACACGGTCTACTCCTCCTCAACAGTAACTGAATAATATTAAAAAAAAAAGCACCGTCGCGGAGGTCGATTGGACCCTTTCATAAAATGTTGTTTAGTAAAAATAAAAAGTTAATTTTATTAATTAGATTAAAAAATCGCAACAAACAGTATACGTAGACACTTCCTACATTCAAATGACATTTGATTTAATCATCAATATTAATTATTAGTAGGTATTATTAAATGTGATTTCGGATAAAATTTAATATGCACCTCGGCATTAAAGTCATTTACTGCAACAAGACTTTACTGCCTTGATACATAAATAACTATTAAATAAATTTAAAGAGTACTGCTTATGAATATATGTATACTAAAATGATTGATTATTTAATTTTCAATCTTAAAATAATTATTAATTTAGTAAATTTTTTTAAAAGTTATGTGTATTTAAAAAAAGATACATTTTTTTTTAAATTGGTTAGGTAGAAAAATATAAAAGAAAACATCCAAATCAAAAGCGTGGGACGTCCCATATATGTTATAATGTCAATTTAATCCCTAAAATTTGGTTATTAAACTAAATATTTGAAGCATAAATTTAAATTGATTTGTTTTTTATATCCCTATTCCTAAAAGCGTGGGACGTCCTATATATGTTATAAGCTCAGTTTTGTTTTTATCCTTCAACGTGGCAATATTAGAGGATAAAACTTAATTTATCTCCAATAAAATTTGCCGCTGTAAAATAGGTACTTAATCCCTAAAATTAGGTTACTAAACTAAATATTTGAATCATAAATTTAAATTGATTTGTTTTTTATATCCCTATCAGTATAACTCGTAAATAAGGTACAATAATTTAAGATAATCGTATTGCATGTAAAATAAATGGAAACTTTTATTCTTAGAATCACGTTTTAACGAAAATATTTAAATAATTTTAACAAAATCGATCATAATAAAGCACTATTTTTAGAACATATTAATATAAATACAGCTACTTTGATGTTATCCTAAACAATAAATGACCTTTTAATATATTTGACCCAAAAACACCCTTAAAAAATAATTAAAAATTACTGATATGTACTAATGCTTCTTTGTTACTTTCTAGACATGCGATTCTAGGCAAATATTTAAAAAAAAAGTTATTATCTTAATTAATAAATAAAATAAAACTATCGTTAATTAAAATATATTTTCTTTTAAACAATAGGCAATTCTAATTTTGGACTCAAATATTATTACTCAAGAAAATGTCAAGCACTTCATTAAATAAAAATGCAAATATTTAAAAAAATGTAAAAAGCTTTTGTACAAATCCCTTGATATTTGAAAGAATTATGTTTTAAGTAGGTAAATCAAGTATTAACTTAATGCTATTGTAACAAAAGTAATGATTAACTTTTCAAAATCCATTTTTCCAATTTTCCTTACAAGGGAGGATGGTATTGTAATTTACCACAATAGTTTATAGCTAATAATAGCAATAATTTTCTTTGTATTTTCAGCCAATAATGCAACCTGAATATAATAGATACTTACCTATATAACGTTTTCTTTATATAATTTGTGTTAAATTAATTAATAATATCTTCTTATATAATCTGCTTCCGGTGCAGAATTTTTATGTCGCTCGCCTATTTTTAGAAAATTATTCAGCTTTGAGAATATTTTATAGTATTTGTGCTCTAAGCTATTTAGGTACTTGTAAGATCATTTAAATATCGAACAATTAATAAGCTACTTCAGGACCGTAATTAGTCAAAATTTAGAAATTTTAAAGGTGAAAATTAAATAGATTTTTAAAAACTTTATAATTATTTTTTGTAAACTAATCAAAAAATTACTAATTTTTTTAAATAAAATCAAAGAATAACATTCTTGTTTAACCACCTACCAAAATACTAAACCAAGTGATTATTTTAAGTAATAAATTACAAATTCAATTTATTGACGAGTATTTAAGTTTTTAGGTTTTTAAATTAAATTTTATTCGCTTTATTTGTGTTAAAAAAATCCTTTTTAATATTTTTTCTGCTCCCACCTTTAAAACGATCATTATCGTACATATTTCCATGACACTAAGTGACCTTTTAAATAAACATTGACAAGTTGTGGCTTTACGGCGTTTTAGTCACGGGCTGAAGTTAGCAACAGGTTTTTAGTCACGGGCTGAAGTTAGTTTTAAGTTAGTTAACAGTTGTAAAATGTCATACAATCGTTAAAATAAAGTGCCTTTCTTGTAAAATAATACTAAATGTGAAAATTATTTTATTATCTCAATACAAAAATACAAAAGTATTAAATAGTTTATCAACGCCAATATTTGAAAAGTTTATATGAACATTGTACTGACCTTTTAATTTCGCCGGCAGTAAACTATAACTTAAATTCGGGCACGGACTCCACTGTAAAGTGCTCATAAAACATTTTCTTTACTTTCACTTTAAAAAACTGTCCATTTTCAAGAAATAAATTTCGATTTATAACACTGTGCGACAAATTTTGACCTTACAATTTGAACTGGGATGAAATGTGGAAAAATCGAATCTATGCAACCCCCAAAACTAATCTTTAAAGGGGTTTTGCTAGTTTAGCTCGAATAATGGAGATATACAGGGTGTTTCTTTTAACTTGAGACAGCTCAATATCTCGAGAAATACGCATTTCACGGAAAAATGTCTTAAATAAAAGGTTAATGTGACCAAAGGGGACATTATTTGGTGCTACCGCTAGCCATCCCCTACCCCTCCTTAAGGGTGAAACGGGGGGTAACTTTGGAAAGTCAAATGGAATGACCCGATTTTTTTCACAGAGTTTGGTAGTACATAAAAAAATGAATAACTTTTATTTGAAAGTTTTTTTCAATTTATCAACACACGCTTTAAAAGACAAGACAGTAATCTATTTAAAACTTTTTTCTACTCCCACCTTTAAAACGCCCTTTATCGTACATGTTTCCATGACACTAAGTGACCTTTTAAATACACATTGACAAGTTGTGGCTTTATGGCGCTTTAGTCACGGGCTGAAGTTAGCAACAGGATTCTAGTCATGGGCTGAAGTTAGTTTTAAGTTAGTTGACAGTTGTCAAATGTAATAAAATCGTTAAAATAAAGTGCCTTTCTTGTAAAATAATACTAAATGTGAAATTTATTTTATTATCTCAATACAAAAATACAAAAGTATTAAATAGTTTCTCAACGCCAATATTTGAAAAGTTTATATGAACATTGTACTGACCTTTTACTTTCACTGTGAAAAACTGTCAATTTTCAAGAAATACCTTTAGATTTATAAACTTATAAACTTTATAAAATTTGACATTTGACGGTGACACACAGATTCCCCTATTGTTTCATAGATGGCGCTCTAATTATACAAATTTTTGATTTAAATCATTTTAAGATAATAATAAGTATTTGTCACAGAAAAAGTATAGTATGCAACCTCGTTTATAAACTTTTCTATACACTCATTAATTTAAGCACTCGCTCGCAAGCTCGCTCGTGCCTAAATTAAATTCGTGTATGAAATGGCGTTTATCAAACTTGATACATAATATACTATTAAACACAGAGTGTGAGAATGTGTAATATTTTATAAAACCTTAGTAATGTCCATACTTACATTAAACAAATTTGCAGCTGTTAGTTTATTGATGTAGTGACAGTACAATAATTATAAAAGGTTACCTTATTCGTTCCAGCCATAACGTATGACAGTATTTAATACAATGAAAGTCAAAAAGTAATAAATTAGTAATGAACATTGTTAGAGAAGCAATACATTTACGTCCAATTTACCAACATAAAGCAAGTACTGTCTGTCCACTCTAAGTTGGCTGAACTAAGGAATTTTGTTGTTTAGATATTAAAGAATTGTCGTACTGTGTGCTTTTAAAACAGATTTTATATTATAAATAATACTAGTATATAATATGTACTAGTATTATTTATAATATAAAATCTGTTTTAAAAGCACACAGTACGACAATTCTTTAATATCTAAACTACAAAATTCCTTAGTTCCGCCAACTTAGAGAGGACAGACAGTACCTAATTATAATTATTAAACTTTGACTGGTTACCTGATAAATAAATAAATAAATAATTTAATCATTTATTAATCCAAAGACCTTTACAGATATAGGACAAGTCATAAAAAACAAATTAATAATTATAAATAAAAATAATAGTGACATTAAAAGAAGAGGAAAACCAATTAAACTCTTATTCTAAAACTAAAAATTAAACCTTAAATACTCATTTAAATCGTAAAAACAACATGCAATTAGAATAATTTTTATTTCAACAGATTTGACGGTGATTTATTTTCTACAGATATTAAAAAATTCAAATTCCCTAAATTTTGTCGAAATAAAAGACTTCCTTATTGGCGCTTGAAGCGCTCTCTAGCCTACTGTGCGACGTAATGCTTTAAAAAGCTAACACGAAATAACTGTAGAGAAACGGCACTAACAATCTAAAAGGGCATTTGACGTTTGAGTTGCAAACAGCTGCAATGATAATTAAGGTGGTACGAGTGGTGTCTGGCCCGTGTCGCTTTGAAAAGAACAAGTTGCTTGTGTTTTGCAGAGCCGCGTTGCGGTCCTATGACGGGAGTAGGCGGCGAGCCTATGCCGATGCAGTCAAGTATCATCTCTCCCGCAATGACGGAGTCCGACCTGCCCCAGCCTTTGGTCGTCAGGAGTCCCTCCGTCTCTTTGATGCGCTGGCCGAACACCCCCTCGCCAACCAAGACTCCCACCAGACAAGTTAGTATTTTTTTAGCCGTCCCCAGGGTTTTCATTAAAATTTAATTGTCCTTTGCTTGGTAGTAGGCTTTGTCTTAACATAGATTTAAGCTTGCCACTTTGGTTTTATAACAAAATTGTATGTAGTTTTTTTGGGTTTTGTGATATTTTAAATAAAATAGATAAAAAAACAAAAATAATAAAGTTTTGCTTTGGTAAAATCATGCAAAATTTAAAAAATTAAAACCAAATTTTTTTGTGAAAGCATAACATAATAGCAATACCCTTTTCTTTGTCCGAAAACACATATAACTGCAAAGTGTGTCTTGCTACCTGCCTTCAGACTCTTTCAGCCTGATTTTTGAGTCATTATTTAAAGCTAAACACCCAGTAATTACAAGACACATTATTCCACTTAAAAAAAAGTGTTTTGGAAATAAATTGCAGTTTATCTGAACCAATTTTATTACGAAAATAAAGAAAAATTTATTAAATCAAATTTTCTAGAGAACAGATTACAGAAAATGTGAATTTTCTGAGAATAAACTTTAAAATAAATTAGAATTTAGGAAGAAATAATAGGTGTTTGTTAACACTGTAGGTAAATTTTCAACTGAACCTACACCTCGCCAAAGTTTTTTGTTTCGAATGCGTTCCACCAACTTCAAATACCGACAGACAGCTGTTTCGACCTTTATTGGGTCTCATCAGTGTCGGGCAACTTGGTGTAGTGGAACACAATCAAAACAAATTACTCCCTCAGCTTATATGCTCGGTTGTTAAGTCAACAGAGGCGAGATGTAAGAACATCAGGTGATCCACACCGTCAAACGACGTGGCCTTTGCTGCAATCGGTACATACTATGCAACCGGGACTGCACACAGCAATTGTATCACAGATACTAATATGGCCTAAAGGAATCTAGAATTAACCCAAACGGGCTAAACATTAAGGTAAACATTCAATTTTCTTAGTTTCTTTAAGAAACTTTCTTGACCCATCACTGGTAATATTCATAAGAATATAAGAAAAAATTGAACCTACACCTCGCCAAAGTTTTTTGTTTCGAATGCGTTCCACCAACTTCATTAGTATCTGTGATACAATTGCTGTGTGCAGTCCCGGTTGCATAGTATGTACCGATTGCAGCAAAGGCCACGTCGTTTGACGGTGTGGATCACCTGATGTTCTTACATCTCGCCTCTGTTGACTTAACAACCGAGCATATAAGCTGAGGGAGTAATTTGTTTTGATTGTGTTCCACTACACCAAGTTGCCCGACACTGATGAGACCCAATAAAGGTCGAAACAGCTGTCTGTCGGTATTTGAAGTTGGTGGAACGCATTCGAAACAAAAAACTTTGGCGAGGTGTAGGTTCAATTTTTTCTTATATTCTTATGAATATTACCAGTGATGGGTCAAGAAAGTTTCTTAAAGAAACTAAGAAAATTGAATGTTTAAATTTTCAACTCTTGAAATATCACAGCTAGCTAAACGCTCGGACACGTAAATATAATTTTTGGTCGTAGATTCCAAATCCGTGATCGGTTTAGCTGTATCAGGTCTAAAAAGTCTAAAAAGTCCGATCCGGGGACACACTGTACGAGGTGTGTTCAGAAAATATCGGGAATTTTCGTTTTTTGAAACAAATATTTATGTATTCGTCTACATTAATGTTGTCGCCTTCAAAATAGTCCCCATTGGATATTATGCACATGTGCCAGCTCTTCTTCCAATACTCGAAACACTTCTAAAACTCGATCTTTGGGATAGCCTTTAGTTCTTTCAGCGATGCGCTTTTAGTGTCATCTATGCTTGCAAAACGACGGCCCTTTAAGGTTCTCTTTAGTTTTGGGAATAGAAAAAAAGTCAGACAGAGGCATGTCTGGCGAATATGGAGGCTGGGGCATCATTACAGTATTGTTTTTGGCCAAAAATTTTGTTCAAAATTTAACAATTTTAGAACAAATTTTTCTGCCACGCGTTTCATACCCAAAACATTCAAAAAAATTTCATGGGATGAGCCAATCGATATACCAACATCATCAGCGATTTCTCTGATGGTTTATAACCATTTCTTCCACTTTTTCTATGTTTTTATCGGTTGTTAAGGTGCTTGTGCGTTCGGGGCGTTCGTTATACCACTTGTAAACTCTTGTTTTACTTATAGCAGACTCACTATAGGCCTTTGTTAACATTTCACAGAATTTATTTCATTTTTTAAGCAAAATTGGATACAAATTCTTTGATCCATTTCTTTCAACGAACGAAAAATCGCCGAGCTCATAAAACACGTCTAACCTTAGCGGCTGCCACTGACAAAGTAAACAATGAAAACAGCTAAGGTTTTTATCATACTTCGGGGGCATGTATACCAACATAATAAAGAAAATTTTATGACAACCGGGCCCTCCGAACCCGCGAAATTTAACAATTCCCGTTATTTTCTGAACACACCTCGTATACTGGTACCTATATTATAATTTGTAAAATAATATATTTCACCTCTTGTGTCAATAAATATAATATCCTCAATTATACTCAATAAAAAAAATTGGCAAAAAAACACGTTAAATTTAGTAAATTATCTATAAAAAACCGGGGACACTTGTTCCTTTTGATTAATCTCCAAATTTTGCAAGAATTTTTTTTTTATTTGGAACTGAAGTGTGGGTCTAGCCGGTTTGATTTTTTTTAAATTTATACATGGTTTTTCCAATATATTTATACATGGTGTTTCCAATATATTTGAATTTTGACTTGATACAGCTAAACCAAGCATGGATTTGTAATCTACGACCAAAAATTAAATTTACGCGTCCGAGCGTTTGTTTGGCTGTGATATTTTTACCTCCCTACAGTGTTATCAGTGTTTCCACCTCTGGCCTCAATGCAAGCAGGAATTCGACGAGGCATGTTTATTTTTTTTCTCCCCTCTAAAACTTTTACTAGGGTTGTTTTAACGGGCTGTAATCCTTGTTTTATTTAACCTTATTCCTTAATTTCTCAATTGGATTTGGATCTGGTGAACAAGAAGGCCACTCTAAAACAGTCAAACTTTCCATTTCTTATCAGTTTTTAACAACTCTGCTTATCAGCCGTCGTGCATTATCCGGCATAAATAAAAGATGCAGAACACAGTTAATGGCTCCAAAAATATTGGTGCAAAATAGAGTTGGCCATTTAAATTGGCATTTAAAGCATTAAAACTGGACAATTGATGATTAGAGAAATGTCTTATTTTCGGATAAATCCAAAATTGGCCTACGATCAGACGACCAGTGAATTCGTATTTTAAGAGGTCGTGGGAGACAAGCTAGACTCTAAACTAGACGATCTATCCCTGAAGGCAAAGGAGAAAGTGCAATATTTTGGGGTGGCTTTATGATTAGTAAAAACATTCCTTTGATTTTCATTAAAAAATCCCTTAGAGGTCCAAGGTACGTGAATTTAGTTCTACAACCCGTAGTAAGGCTCTAAAAAGGTGCTTTTCGTGATTTATACCGCATTATGCACCTCCATTTACCAGCAGATTGCTAAAAATTGTTTGAAAATGAAAGGTGTGACTGATATACGAGGTGTGTTCAGAAAATAACGGGAATTGTTAAATTTCGCGGGTTCGGAGGGTCCGGTTGTCATAAAATTTTCTTTATTATGTTGGTATACATGCCCCCGAAGTATGATAAAAACTTTAGCTGTTTTCATTGTTTACTTTCTCTGTGGCAGCCGCTAAGGTTAGACGTGTTTTATGAGCTTGGCGATTTTTCGTTCGTTAAAAGAAATGGATCAAAGAATTTGTATCCAATTTTGCTTAAAAAATGAAATAAATTCTATGAAATGTTAACAAAGGCCTATAGTGAGTCTGCTATAAGTAAAACAAGAGTTTACAAGTGGTATAAGAGTTTCCAAGATGGCCGTGAAGACGTTGAAGATGATCAACGCCCCGAACTCACAAGCACATTAACAACCGATAAAAACATGGAATAAGTGGAAGAAATGGTTATAAACCATCAGAGAAGTCGCTGATGATGTTGGTATATCAATTGGCTCATCCCATGAAATTTTTTCGAATGTTTTGGGTATGAAACGCGTGGCAGAAAAATTTGTTCTAAAATTGTTAAATTTTGAACAAAATTTTTGACCAAAAACAATACTGTATACATGTAATGATGCCCCAGCCTCCATATTCGCCAGACATGCCTCTGTCTGACTTTTTCCTATTCCCAAAACTAAAGAGAACCTTAAAGGGCCGTTGTTTTGCAAGCATAGATGACATTAAAAGCGCATCGCTGAAAGAACTAAAGGCTATCCCAAATATCGAGTTTTAGAAGTGTTTCGAGTATTGGAAGAAGAGCTGGCACATGTGCATAATATCCAATGGGGACTATTTTGAAGGCGACAACATTAATGTAGACGAATAAATAAATATTTGTTTCAAAAAACGAAAATTCCCGATATTTTCTGAACACACCTCGTACTTAAAATTAACTTAGATCGTCTTGAGGTACGTGTTGTTTTTAATAAAAAAAAAAATTCCTAGTGTTTTTTTATCAAAACAAAGCTTTTTAGGGGGCGTCGCAAAAAATTTAATTTTTAACGACCACCCTAAAACACAACAAACCATAAATGCAATTTTTTTAAGATGATTTTTTGTTGCTTTTTTCTTGAAAAAATATAAATGTTATCCCTACTATAAATTAACTATCCTATTACAAATTAAAAAAGTTTATTTGTTGTTTATTATTTTTTAAGATAATTTGATAAAAAATGTAAATAGACACATATGAATATTCTGAAAAACCCTTGTTTTTTATTTATTATTGATAATAATTTGATTTTATTAAATTAAATTAAAATTTAGTGGTTTAATATAATAAAAAATTATATAAAATCAATGTTAAAAATAGTTTATAAATCAGTTGTATCACTGAAAATCATTTTACATAAAAATCAAATAAAATATGAAAATTAATTTATGATCTAAAAATTATAAATCATCATTTTTTAGTTTTTGTTTCGGAAAATTTAAAACCTTTGGCTTCTATTTAATTTCCAAGAGTTATAAATCCCACGAATGCCTTGCAAAACAACAACTAAATTAACTACACTTTGTAACTTTTCACATACGAACTGTTTTAAATGAATAATTTACTTTTCTGATAAAACCAAAAAGTAATATTATATATGATTTTGACGTCAAGGTAGTTGTGGCACAGAAAACCTATAAATAAATTTATCTTAAATTGGTTGAACAAAAATAAAAGAAAATTGTCTGTTTCCATCAAATAAATATCTCGGCTATAAATCACATTTATCAAATATGTCAATTTACTGTATTTACTATAGCTATGTCAACAAACCAGATAAAATCATTTTATTTTAAATTAAATAGTATTATTAATAATTATTTATTAGGTAGATGCTTGCACAAGCATATATATATATATATATATACATTAGGGTGATTCAAAACCCAAAAATTTTGTAAAATTTGAACCTTAAATTTCTTTAGATGGATCAAATTTATCAAAAAATCATAAAAAAACCTTTTTTGTAGGGCGTTCAATTCTCTACAAAAATATGTCAAGAACTTTACAGTACGACCTATTGTTCGTTAGTTATAAAAATAAAAAGAAACAAAAATAATTTTTCCTATGTTATTCTTATGGAAAATCGAAAAGTGCGATGCGGAGCATCTTAATTTTGAAATTAAGAGCTTATTTTTTCACAGGCTCATTTTTATATCTATACGAAACTTTTGAGCGTGGTTCCGAGAAAAACGGTGTTTTTGAATCACCCTAATATACATTTTCAGGGTGTTTCACATTTTTGGTCCATTGGAAGTTTCTGGGGAACGAAAAAAGATATCGATTTGATATTTTAAAAGCGTAGGTATATTAAATCTATTTTTCTATTCTATTTGAACAAAATACCACTTTCAGTTTAACCGTTAAAGTGACATCAACTTTATTATTTCAAATATATTCACTGCTTATCAAAATTAACGCATAATAAGTAAAAAAAATTAACTCTAAAACGCCTTTATTATATGTATAATAATTTTGACGGGCAGTGTATTTTAACATATATAAATTTTATGTAAAATTACTATATCATGTCCTATACCTAAAGTGAATAGTTTTCGAGTTATTATTTTTTTTCTTTAAAATTTAAGAAATGCGCGTGAATCAAAAATAGCCTTTAACTTTTATATTTTTAGGTTTGCGAATTTGGGGGTGAAATTTTTGGAATCTTAAAACATTGTTTAAAAGATTCATTGGGCAAATTAGGCTAACTTGAAAGGTTAATGACTTTTTTATTTTAAATGAAACACCCGGTATGTTTTTACATAATCAAATAGTAAATTAAAAAACCTTTAGATTGATTTAACTATTCCCTATGCTTAATAATAATTTAAGAGATATTTAACAATTTTTAAAATTTTAGATATTATTTTGTATCAAGAAACCTGTGACTGGTGAGTTGACGTTATCTATGGTTACCATCTGTTATTGTTCAAAATTTAATGGCGTCAATAAGTTTTTGTTAACAAAATTAAATGTCAACTGGAAGAAGGACTAGCTCATTTGAGACAATCAAATATAAAATTTATTTAATGAAATATTTTTATAACAAAAAGAATTCGTAACTGTAACATTTATTAAACCAACAATATTTTAATTAGCAATTTTTATTACTAATTTACAACTAAATATTAAAAGTGTCCTTCATTTTTATGCAAGCGTTTCTTAATTCTTACTTATACCGTTGAGTATAGAAGTTCTTTAATCAATGCTTATACATTAGACGTTGCTCTTCTTGAGCATTCTGGGTCTAATATTAGAAATTGTTAAATATTTCTAAAATTATTAAATTTGTTGTATAGGGAATAGTTACATCAAACGAAATGTTTTTTAATTTCCCATTTGATTCTATGTTTAACAAAAATAATTTTCAGTCATATCAACATTTTTTAATATTAATAGGATGGTTTAAAAATTTGTCACAAAGGTCAAAGGTTGAAAAAGTAGGTAATCAATTTAATTTAGAAGTTTGGCTGTGTGCCTATTTTAATTTATTAGACTTTCGTTGCATAAAAAACGATCCAATACACTTGGAATAAACATTAAGTGTTAACACTGGCGCATTCGCCATTTTTGAAAAATTAAAAATGGTGAATGCGCCGTCACTAAAAGATGGTATTTTCACCCATAATATAACTAGTGGTATGATTATCATCGATAATATTTTCGAATTGAAACCGAGCTGCAGATTTCACGAGTCCGCAGGACGAGTGAAATGTGCTGCTTCGGTTTTAATGAGTAAATATCATCGATAATTAATCATACCACGAGTTATATTTAGTGAGAAAATATAATGAATTTTAGGATTTAACGAATTTTTAGTTTGACATTTGAAATTAAAATGTGCTTTAAAATATAAAAAGACTTTAATAAACCTTATTTATTCAAACTTACCTTAATTTTATTATCGTTTACACCAACCCATCGATCTTTTAGAGTTTATAATTCATTATTTTAATCATTTAGGTAACAAACACAGTATTTAAATGACAACAAATGTCAAATCAAAAAAACGTCAAAGTTCATAGTAACGTGTAAACAAGATGATAAAAATTATTGCCGCTGTGATAAAATACGTCACTATGGAATACTGGCATTTTATTGGTTCTAATATTAATGAATTATATTGTCACCCATAATATAACAAGTGGTATGATTATCATCGATGATATTTTCGAATTGAAACCGAGCTGCAGATTTCACGAGTCCGCAGGACGAGTGAAATGTGCTGCTTCGGTTTCAATGAGTAAATATCTTCGATTATTAATCATACCACGAGTTATATTTAGTGAGAAAATATAATGAATTTTAGGAATTAAAAAATTTGTCAGATTGACATTTAAAATTAAAATGTGCTTTAAAATATAAAAAGACTTTAATAAACCTTATTTATTCAAACTTACCTTAATTTCATAATCGTTTACACCAACCCATCGATCTTTTAGAGTTTATAATTCATTATTTTATTGATATACATATATCAAATACAGAATTTAAATGACAACAGATGTTAAATCAAAAAAAGTGTCAAAATTCTTAGTAACGTGTAAACAAGATGATAAAAATTATTGCCGCTGTGATAAAATACGTCACTATGGAATACTGGCATTTTATTGGTTCTAATATTAATGAATTGTATTGTCTCTATGGTATTTTCTAACTAATTTGATTGTTTATTTAGGTTAGCTTTAATTATGGAAGAGAATGTAATAACAACAATGAAGTTGCTAGAAGTCTTTCAGGATTGGATAGAGACTGCTTTATAATTCCTGTTCATAGCCTTGACAGGTTTTTGCCTGCAGGAGTACCTATGCCAGTAGGTATATAAGTGTTTTTTTAGGTTTTTTAATTAACAGCAAAAGTATACCTAGGCGAAGTTGATATAACTTTTCTTGTATATAACTCCGTTATAGGATTTAAAATACCCAAAACGTTCTTAAAAAAGTTGTGCATTAATACAACCTCTTATATTTGAGAAGCATCGGTGCAAAACCGGCTAAATCCATTTTATTCAGTTTTTTTTTGATTTCGCATATTTGGGTTCATTTCTATCGACAACCAAGATAATTCTGTTTAAATCCGACTATATCCATGTTAAAATCACATTTAAAAGGTAGCTTTAGGAGCAGAACCGACCAAATCCACGTTTTTATAGCAAACCCGGCTATATCCAATAAATAATAATATGTGGCTTGGATATGTCGATACTACTACTAAAATTTGTTCTGTTTTTTCATGTTTGCACTAAATTTATTTTGTTAATATTTTTGAATAATAAAGGTTTTTTTTCACATTTTATTCGTTTTTTATTCGGTTTTCGAGCAAACCGGCTATATACAAAACATTTTTTGAAATTTTGGCCTTAATATAAAGTTTTTGAAAACGAAATTATGTCTTATAAATCAAGTAGGTACCACAAAGCCCACAAAACTCAAGTTTGCTTTTTTTATCTGTAAAGGCCAGGAAACCGAGAGTTTTTGCCATTTTCCCAACATTTTATTAAAGTGGATATAGCCGGTTTTGCACGGATGCTCCTCATTTGTAAATGCTAATTTTTTTATAAAATTCCCAGTAATTTAAACCAACCTTGTATTTTGTTTCATATTTATTATAGATGTTCTAGTTTCTTTATTGATTTAACGTTAATTTCCCGTAAGTTTTAAGTGTTTAATTTAAACTATTATTATTTCAGAAACCTCCCGCCAATAATAACGGAAACTCTTTAGATAGAAAAGGAAATTTACATGTAATGGAGGTAAGATTTATTACCTTAATAATGCTCTTTATAAAATAAAAGTGCTTTTAAAAACCTATTTGACCCTATACACAAACAGTTGATTTAATTAAGTATGGGAAATATACAGGGGGTCCCATAATTAACGTGCAATACTTCAACATCAGATTCTACGTACAAAAAAAAGACAAAAATCCTATTAACATAGGTCGAGAAATGCTTCCTAAGGGAGCTACAGCCCCCGAAAGAGGAGCCCCTAAAGATGGTTTTTATTTAATATCTACAAAACCGTTGAATATAGAAACGTGCTTCCTAAGGGAGCTACAGCCCCCGAAAGAGGAGCCCCTAAAGATGGTTTTTATTTAATATCTACAAAACCGTTGAATATAGAAACGTGAAATTTTGAAAATTGATTAAACTTTTTATGGCCAATACGATGTTATAATAACAATTTCAAATTTTCCATGAGGGGTGGGTCAGGTAGATAGGAAGTAAGGCTAAAACCATCCTAACTTTTTGTATGTGTCTTGTCCCAGGATTTGTAAAAATAAACAACACGCTAAGCACATCCCGAAAAATTGAATATGGCGTCCCCCAAGGAACGGTTTTGGGTCCCAAGCTGTTTGTGATATACATAAATGAAATACTTAAGCTATCAATAAACGGTGATATACTATCCTACGCAGATGATACGGTTTTACTTATTAATGGAAAAACTTGGACAGAAGCAAAAACCAACAGTGAGCATAACCTCTACAAGGTAAAATGTTGGCTTGATAGTAATTTATTAAGTCTTAACTTTTCTAAAACAAAATTTATGTGTATCACAAACAGCATGGCAAATCAACCATAGTTTCAGGAAATTAAGTTACATGCAGTTTGTGATCTTGAGCCAGGCTGTCAGTGCCAAGGATTAATTAAAAAGGCTGAGTCCATAAAGTACTTGGGGCTAATCATAAATAATAATTTAAAATGGAAAGAACACGCACCGTATATAGCAAATAAATGAAAAAAAATTGTGTACTCATTTTACAAATTAAGAGAGATTATGTCAAAAAAATCACTTATTATAGCATATAAATCTCTAGCGGAATCAACATATGGAATTATTATATGGGGGGGACATATGAAAATCATTTAAAAAATATTATCGTGACAAAAAAATGGATTCTAAAAACAATCTTATTTAAAAAACCTACAACTTCGACAATTGAAATATACCATGAAAGCAATGTCTTTAATTTTAATCAGTTGTATACATTTAATGTAGCCAAGTTTGTTTATAAAAATCCAATATTAAGGAAAACTGCCAAACATCAGTACAATACTCGACAAGAAACTAATCTAATTCCCAAGATTCCATCGACACTCTTTAAAAACTGTATTTGTGTGACAGGTCCGAAAGTGTACAATGTTTTGCCCAACGAACTAAAGAGAATTAATGACTTTAATTTATTTTGTAAGAAACTTAAATTATTTATACAATCAAAATTTAATTTATTTATAAGATAGATTCTGTAAAATTCCATTCATTCAAAATATTTGTTTACTTGTATAATATACCATATTATGGTATAATTATTATTCGTTTATCAATTTACAGATTATATTTAATTTTTTATTTTGTTAATTTTTTTTGTTAAAAACACACACCTCGAATATTGTTTTTGTTATTAAAATCTAAGCACGACACGATTTCATATGAAATCAGGTGCGAATAGGAATAAATAAATTATGTACATATGGAATTATTTGTAAAAACTAGAGAAAAAGATTCAGCTTGGGCATTTGCATGACCTAAATTATTTTAAAAAATCTATTACAATTACTTTATTATTTTTTTTTACTCCCACTAAGTGACCTTTTAAATACACAATTGACAAGTTGTGGCTTTATGGCGCTTTAGTCACGGGTTGAAGTTAGCAACAGGTTTTTAGTCACGGGCTGAAGTTAGTTGACAGTTGTCAAATGTCTTTGTTTTAACAATCGTTAAAATAAAGTACCTTTCTTGTAAAATAATACTAAATGTGAAAATTATTTTATTATCTCAATACAAAAATAAAAAAGTATTAAATAGTTTCTCACCGCCAATATTTGAAAAGTTTATATGAACATTGTACTGACCTTTTAATTTCGCCGGCAGTAAACTATAACTTAAATTCGGGCACGGACTCCACTGTAAAGTCCTCATAAAACATTTTCTTTACTTTCAATATGAAAAACTGTCAATTTTCAAGAAATACATTTCGATTTATAACCTTTATAATCTGTGTTTATAAAATATAAAAATGTGAAATTTGAAGGTGATACAGATTCCCCTATTGTTTCATAGATGGCGCTCTATTCAAATTTTTTATTTAAATTATTTTAGGATAATAATAAGTATATGCACCTCGTTTATAAACTTTTCTATACACTCATTAATTTAATTTAAATTTTAATTAAATTCGTGTATAAAATGGCGTTTATTAAACTTGATACATAATATACTATAATTGACTCGATGATTGCAAAAAGTCATATTTAAATCAAATAATTTATAGGTAGGTAACTAATTATTTAAATACTGCTAGTTTTAATAGACTATTTACTTTTTTAAGTAATAATGCAGAACTTGCTATAAACGGTTATTTGAGTTTTTCTACTGACTTATACCCTTTCTGCAATCAGCGTTTCAATAGACTTTAAACAAAAAATAACCACATAGTAAAAATGATATATTTTCTATGATTTTAGAAAAAACTATTAAATTTGAAATAAACATTTCCGAAAAGCCATAAAAAACGCCTTTTTCATTTTAATTGAATTTTTAATAAAATTAACAAACTTTTAACACTCTTAAAAATCGTAGGTGCCTGATCCAAAACTATGTGTCTTATGCCACTTGATGAGCCCGCTGGAAGCGATCGACCCCGTGCTGGAGTCGCCTCTGGTGCAGCCAATCTTCAAGCAAAGAGTGACAGCCGGTGAGCTTGTCAACGAGGTGGCGCAGGCCAGAACGGCCGTCACCGGGATGCTTTTAGCAAACATGGAAAGAAACGGTAATTATGCTACACGTTTATCCACTTTTGTTTTTCTCTCGCATGGCTCGTAAAATTCTGCGCCATTCGCGGAACATGCATATCTCGGTAGGCCTGGTAATTACGACGTTTTTGTCGTTAAAAATATATAAAAGTTTTTGGTTACTAACTGAATTATAATCTGTCTACAGAGTTCTTAATTATAGTCTACTGAAGATTTTTAATTTTCATACTGTCGTGGTTGAAAACATTGTTGAGTTTTTTTGGCAAAATATTTTTTATTGGCCTTGTTGTAAAAAAATATAAGAGATTATTTCCCTCATTATAATATGAACCAATCAAAAGCATTGAATTTTCGAATAAATTTCGTTTAAATAAGCGATTAAATCAAGTGATAGTTATTTAACAGCGATTAAATTTTAGCCTCCATATTGGATTTTTGTTTACGATGTTATGGTTTATTTACAAGTTTTAACAAACATTTTTTAAAAAACAATAAAAAATAAGTTATCTAGTTTACGAAATATCAATTATTACTTATTACATACCTTAAATTAATGGAATTTTCTTTAAAAAAATATTTATAAATTTTGACACATACGTCAGATTTTATGAATTGTCAAATAGTTTCCTTTAATTCGAGAAATAATCTAGACGTATATCAACCTATAAATTTAATCTGTCAAACTATGCTCAGTAAGTTTTTTATTTGATTTTTCTTTTTGGAAAATAGTTTCATGCAAAATAATTAAAAATAAAACCCCTCGACCGCTACGCGGTCTCGTGATTTTATTAAATTATTTTTGGTTACTAACTGAATTATAATCTGTATACAGAGTTCTTAATTATAGTCTACTGAAGATTTTTAATTTTCATACTATGGTGGTTGAAAACATTGTTGGGTTTTTTTGACAAAATATTTTTTATTGGCCTTGTTGTAAAAAAATATAAGAGATTATTAATTTTGACACATACGTCAGATTTTATGAATTGTCAAATAGTTTTCTTTAATTCGAGAAATAATCATATATTATATCACGAGAACTATGAATTTAATCGGTTAAACCAGGCTCAGTAGTTTTTTGTTTGGTTTTTGTTGGAAAATGTTAAATGCAAAATAATTTTATAAAATCACGAGACCGCGTAGCGGTCGAGGGGTTTTATTTTTAATTATTTTGCATGAAACTATTTTCCAAAAAGAAAAATTAAATAAAAAACTTACTGAGCATAGTTTGACAGATTAAATTTATAGGTTGAGTGATATACGTCTAGATTATTTCTTGAATTAAAGGAAACTATTTGACAATTCATAAAATCTGACGTATGTGTCAAAATTTATAAATATTTTTTTAAAGAAAATTCCATTAATTTAAGGTGTGTAATAAGTAATAATTGATATTTCGTAAACTGGATAACTTATTTTTTATTGCTTTTTAAAAAATGTTTGTTAAAACTTGTAAATAACACCATAAAATCGTAAACAAAAATCCAATATCGAGGCTAAAATTTAATCGCTGTTAAATAGTTCTAGTGATTTAATCGCTTATTTAAACGAAATTTATTCGAAAATTCAAGGCTTTTGATTGGTTCATATTATAATGAGGGAAATAATCTAGACGTATATCACTCAACCTATAAATTTAATCTGACAAACTATGTAAGTAAGTTTTTTATTTGATTTTTCTTTTTGGAAAATAGTTTCATGCAAAATAATTAAAAATAAAACCCATCGACCGCTACGCGGTCTCGTGATTTTATTAAATTATTTTGCATTCAACATTTTCCAACAAAAACCAAACAAAAAACTACTGAGCCCAGTTTAACCGATTAAATTCATAGTTCTCGTGATATAATATATGAAAAAAATGCAGATAATATTGTTTGTTGCAGCTGAGTTTCCTTTCATAACTTATTATGTGATAAATACTTCACAAACGAATCCTGTGATGTTTTACAATAATCTTCGCACTGCCAGTTTGACCAAATTCGATCCTAGAGTAACAAAATATACAGCTGCACACACTTTAGACCTTTATTCGGAAGTAGCTGCGATCTGTAGACCTCCCATCCACGAAATTGGAATGTCCCTGACCAAAACGCATACTAACTCTACAGGTGAGATAATTTTATATTGATTTAATAACATAAAACATAAATGTTTATATACCTATAACTTTTTATACTATTAATTTACTGTCTTAACTAGATTGTTTTCGTATAGTGCTGTACTATTAATAGTATAAAAAGTTATACAATAAGGTGCTTAAAAAAAATTTTTTTTTCGATTTTACCCTCTCAAATTTTTCTATTTAATATAAAAAAAATCCTCACCAAATATGGGCGTTCCAGCTCAACTTTAAGAGGTCGCTGTTTTTATTTTAGTTTCCCATTTAATTAACATGGGAAAAAATAATTTTATGTTTGGAATTTTATACCTCTGTATCAAAGTAACTTATGGCAATGATAATTGCAGTTTCTATATAATGTAACGCTCTACAAAAAAGGTCTCTTATTATTTTTCGATAAATTGATTTCTTCTAGAGTTATTTGAGATCAAAGTTTGATTAACATGAAATTTTCTGTTTTTTTTTTAATTTTATGGTATAATTAGCAGACGGGAGGTAAAAGGGGGCAAAACAAGGCAGGGGGGGCGTAAATTTAATATAATTTAGTGAATACAAATATTTTTGTATAAAAAATAGCAAAGAATAAATGCTTAATTAATAACAAAGTTAAAAAAAACATAAAAAAGTTGTAAATATTTTTATTTTAGTTTTATTTAAGAAAAAAATTAAGAATTGCAAATTATTATTACTTTTTTAAAGTAATTTTTTTGCGTTATCACGTTTTTGCAAATCATGTCAAACTTTGTTTAAGTACTACTTTTTTTTAGGTTAAATGTTTACGTAATTACAAACACAAAAATCTGTATAAAATAAGATAAGATTTTGCTAATATATAGATTTAAATTTTGAATTTTACTTATTGCAAATATGAAAAATACACATTACATGTTTCTTGCCTACAATTTTCCGCGCTTTCCATATAAAATAAAATATGGGACATATCAATTTTAAGTGTAGTTTTAAAAAAATAAATATTTAAAATTAACCTTTAAGAGGTTCTGCAAGTCATTTATCCAAATAGGCTAAAATTTAAAATAAAAAAATACATACATTAGACTGGGCCAAAAAAATCAACTATTTTTTCCTAAGCGAGTTTTGGTCTCAGAACTCCCAAACCATTGAGTAAACTTAACAAAAGTGACTCGGAGATATTTTTTTAAGGAAATTGAATGATCAACAAAAAAGGTTAAAATGAAATTTTCCGTCAGATGAAATCTTGACAATCATGACTTTTTTTTTTATTTAGAAAAAATACATCTCAATGTGCCCTCATGGGCCACAACAGATAATAAATATAAAAATGTACATATAAGTATTTGTATATATATATAAATAAATAATCTATAAATAAATAACACTTAACCTATTCAGTCTCTTAAATTAATTATATATTCTTTAATCGCTTTTTTGAAATCTTTGGTGTTTTGTTCCTTTAATTTCGCCGGCAGCTCATTGTATTTTTTTATTCCCTCATTCATCAGTTGCTTTTGACTACTTTTTGTTTTGGCTCTATCTATTCTTATTTTATCTCTGCTTCTAGTATTGTATTTATGTATTTCTTTTTGTTTGGTTAATTTTATGTCACTGTCCACAATTTCTTTTTTGTTGATCTTATGTATTATTTTTAATGTTTCCAGTTGTTGTAATTCATTAATATTTAAATGCTTTGTTCTTTTATATACTTCTTTAGTTGCTGTATCTTTTTTAATATTATATAGGACCTTAATGATTTTGTTTTGTGCTCTTTTTAATTTATTTATTTCTTTTTTATTAGCTGCTCCCCAAAAAGGTATCATATATGTTAAATTGCTTTGCACATATGCGTCGTATAGCATTTTTTTATGTTTTACTGTTATGTAATCTTTGACTCTATATGCCATGTATATTTTTGACGAAATTTCCCTTTTTAATTTATTAATGTGGGCTGTCCATGTGAGTTTTTTGTCCAGTATTAGTCCTAGGTATTTGATTTCCTCCACTTTATCTAATATAGTTCCATTTATTTCAAGGTTGATGTTGTGTTCTTTCACTCTATTTTCTATATGTATGAGGTAGCATTTCTTTTCATTAATTGTCAGTTTGTTTGCATTTGTCCATTTTTGTATTGTTTTTATGTCTTCTGTTATTTTGTTTTGTACTTCTTGATCTTCTCCCTCATAGAACATTGCTAAGTCATCAGCATAGATCATGTGTTTCCCATTTAATTTATGCAAGGTTAGGTGGTTTATATATATATGAGGTAAAGAAAAGGCCCCAGTATTGACCCTTGTGGTACTCCACAAAGTACTTCCAGATTTGTACCTATACTTTCACCATTGGTTGTGTGTTGTTTTCTGTCTTTTAAGTAATTTGTAAAAAGTTTTAGCTCTTTATTTTCCACTCCTATATGTTTAAGTTTTTCTATGAGTATGTCTATGTCTACAGTGTCGAATGCTTTTCGATAGTCCATTATTAGCCCAGTTATTGTCTTTCCCTCATCTAGTTTTCTCCGTATATAATGTAACAAATGTAACATCGCTGTGGTTGTGCTTTTTTTTGACTGAAATCCATGTTGGGATTGGGATAGCAATTTTACGTTTTGAGCATGAGCTGATAGTCTGTTGTGGATTATGGTTTCAAAAATTTTACTAAAAACTGTTAGATTTGAGATGAATCTATAGTTATTTGGATCCTTTCTACTCCCTTCCTTGTGTATAGGTGTTAATCTGGCTATTTTTAATTCATCCGGAAACTCTCCCTTTTTTATATGATCATTGATGAGTTTGACTAAGGTCGGCGTTATGATTTCAGCTATTTTTTTTATAAGTGATGGTTTTATTCCGTCATATCCGGTGATGCATTTTTCTTTAGTTTTTGTATTGCTTTTTTCACCTCAGTGTTGTTTGTTGGGCGTATATATAAAAGAGCTTCTATTATTCTTTGTTTTCAATTTTTGGCCCATTTACTTTGCTTGCTAAATTTTTTCCTATTTCTGTACAATATTTATTTAGTATTTCCACTATATCTTTTTTATTTTTTACTGTTTTTTGTTTGTCTTTAACCCGTAACCGGTACTGTACGACTTTCAGGTCATAAACGGTACTAAGGGGTCTGAGAGACACCTGCCTTTTATAATTATAATTTATATTATTTTTTTTATCTGAGGCTTTGGGGATACTAGGAAATATATATAAAGTTAGAATATCACCAAAAATAATACCTGAATAAAAGAAAAATTTAAGCAAATAGGAATCAAAACATGTACAAAAAGTGCAGTAGTGCAAACTTTGTGATTAAACTATAAAAAATATTAAACCAAACAAAATAAAACAATCTTTATTTCGAAGAATATACCTTAAAAAATAACATAAACAAAAAAAATTTAAAAATATCTTTTTTTAACAGCAAAAATAACTGCTTCAAACTATAGCTAATTTTTATAATTATTTTTTCCATGATAACTTTTTTATTTTTTTTTTCAAATTCTTAAAAAATTTCAAATTCTTCACTATCTGACCCTATAAAATTATTTTTTATAGACTCTTCACAGACAAGTCCTGAATCGCTGCTGTGATTATCTTCAACGACATAATCACTATAATGGTTATGTAGTATACTACAGTCATCTATATCACTTTTATCGCTGTAGATTTCATAAAACCGCTACATTACAGTTTCCTTAAAGCCTTTCTTATCACTTTGGACACTTTTAGAAGGCCCTTGCTGCGAATCCATAACGAATTAATTGTTTTATAAAAATTACGTAAACGGTACGCAGTGGTCTACTAGACACCTCAACATTTTGACTTGTAATAATTTGTCCGTTTGACAATCCAACTTGTTCAAAGTCTGAGAGCATATTGATAACTGCTCAACTTAAAAGTATTGGAAGCGACAGATTTTTAAAATAAAAGGTGAGGGTGGGACAGGGCTTTGTTCGTTGATGAGTGTCTCCCAGACACCACAGTACCGGTTACGGGTTAATTTCCTTTATTTCATTTTTTTTAATTTCATTTGTTCCTTTTTGGATAGCATTTAGTATTTTCCATATTTTTTTGCTATTACCTTCACCTTTATTGATTTGTTCTGCATAGAACATTTTTTTGTTTTTTTTTTATTAGTTTTTTAAACATGATCTGTTTGTGTTCATAGTTTAGTTTAAGCTGTTGACTTTCTTTGTTTTTTATCATTTTTTTGTATGCTGTGTCTCTTTTTTTCTTGCTCCTGAAAACTTCTTTGGTCATCCAGCCTTCATGAAACGATTGTACATATTTTTTCTTTATTTCAACTGTGTGTTTCTTTGTTTCTTTTGTTATTATGTCCTGTAGGTCTTTAAAAGTTGTAATAGTGTTCACGTTAATTACTCTTTTTAGTTCATCTTTTAATTTTATTAAGTTCGTTTTCTTGTTTGTGTAGTATTTATTTTGTTTCTTTTCTTCTCTTATTTTAAAGTTCAATTCTATTTTTTTATGATCACTTAGTGGTGTATCTTTGAGTATAATTTCCTTATTTTCAAGATCAGTGTTTGTTATTATGTGATCTATTATAGAGTGCCTTCCAGTAATTTTGTTTAATCTGGTACAGTGTTTTTTATTTATTTTATTAATAATTTTGTAGTTTTTTTCCTTTAATAAATTGATATATTCATTTGTTGTTTGGTCAGGTTTCAGTATGTTTATGTTTAAATCACCCATTATTATTGTTTTTTGTTTATCCTTTAATATATTATTGTCTATATACAGAGCTGCAACAAGTCAGTTTTAAAAAGACTTAATTAAATCTTAAGTCTTAAGTCAATTCTAAAATCAAAATGATTTAAATCTTAAGTCAATTCTAAGATAAAGTTCAAATGATTTAAGTATTAAGTCTTTGAATTAAATCATTTTCTTTCAAGTCAAGTCATTTTCGCAAATTCTTAAATCAATATAAAGTGATTTAAGTCATCTTATGACTTAATTCCTTTAGTAAGTCGTTTTTATGACTTAAGTCTATATTTTTTATTTAAATCGTGATCTAAGAGTTAAGTCAATAAAATGACTTGAATCAAAAATTGTGATTTAAATCAAAATAATTACCCTTAAGTCAATACAACGATTTTTTAAATGTTAATAATAACTTTATGGTATTAATAATACTGATATTATTAATCTATTTTAGATACAGATGATAATAAACCACTATGTTAAGAATTTAACACGATTTATTTTCAGAACACTTAGAAACAAAATAAAAACTTAAAACACATTTTTTGAGTAGACAATCAAAATAAAAACTTAAACCACCTTTTTTAGTAGAGTACATACAGGGAGGCTACTTTTTTATATACATAAATGGGTAACTTCTAAACGGTAATAGATTCAAACTCTGTTAAAATAGATAAAAGTCACAAATTAGACCTAACGCACGCATAATACGACGAATGTTGGCAAACAAAATTATAAATCCGCATTTTTTTAAATTTATTTTAGACAGGACATTTTTTAATGTAGCCGTCAAACGGTTCCGAAAAGCTAACTTTACCGCGGCGGTTTTTTTATTCACTAGCGATAGCAATTGTAGGTAGGAAATTAAAGGAGTTTTTGATCTGCTGCCGCGTGAACCCCTGGCAGATCAAAAGAAAATGCCGCTGTTAAAAATTTATAAAAAAATATATGAAAAATCTGACTTAAATATTTTCTAAAAAGACTTAAATCTTTTTCAAAAAGACTTAAATCTTTTTAAATTACTTAAATAATTTACCGACTTTTATAAAGAATTAAATCTTTTTTTGACTTAAATCGTTTCTATATGACTTAAATCGTATGTACTGATTTAAGTCTTTTATTAATGACTTAAGTTTTTTCTATTTTGAAAAAAATATTTAAGTCACAAATCATTTTGAAAATTATTTAAATTTTAAGTCTTAAGTCAGTTTTAGAGAAATGACTTATTACCAAATGACTTAAGTCATTAAAACGATTTAAATAAAAAAAAACGATTTAAGTTTTTTGAGAGCTTGCAGCTCTGTCTATATATTCCATAAATTGCTCCCTATCTCTTTTCTTAGGTTGTCTATAGATTGCATACAATATTATGTTTATTTTGTTTATTTTGATTCCAAGAATGTTGTTTTTATTTAGATGATTTGTTTTTTCTATCATTGTTGTGTTTAATGTGTTTTGTGTACAGATTGCTACGCCACCTCCTTTACTGTTTCTGCAACTAAATGCACTATTATAGTTTTGAATATTGAAATATTTTATTTCATTCTCCTTTAAGTGTGTTTCTGTGAGTATTAATATGTTTGGCTTTTGTTCTTTTAACATTATTTTTATTTCATTTGTTTTGTTTTTTATTGATCTTATATTTAAGTATAATATTTTAAAGACCTTGTTATTTGTCATTAGTGGTTTTTTTCTTTTAATCTCTCTAGTTTTTCTTCGTTGTCGATTTCTTCGATTTTACTTGTTTCATCTTTTCTCATTAGAATTTTATTTTTATTAAACCACGCAAATTTGAAATTTATTTCTTTTTTTAACTCTCTTGCTTTTTTATTGATTGTCAAGATTTCATCTGACGGAAAATTTCATTTTAACCTTTTTTGTTGATCATTCAATTTCCTTAAAAAAATATCTCCGAGTCACTTTTGTTAAGTTTACTCAATGGTTTGGGAGTTCTGAGACCAAAACTCGCTTAGGAAAAAATAGTTGATTTTTTTGGCCCAGTCTAATGTATGTATTTTTTTATTTTAAATTTTAGCCTATTTGGATAAATGACTTGCAGAACCTCTTAAAGGTTAATTTTAAATATTTATTTTTTTAAAACTACACTTAAAATTGATATGTCCCATATTTTATTTTATATGGAAAGCGCGGAAAATTGTAGGCAAGAAACATGTAATGTGTATTTTTCATATAAAATATAAAATTGTAAAACTATACCAATTTTTAAGTCATGATTGTAAGAAAACGGTCCACCTGACAGGAAATTCCAATTAAACCTTTTTTGTAAAGAATTCAATTTTAGTTAAACTCAATAGTTTGGGAGTTCTGAGACAAAAACTCGCTCAGGAAAAAAATCTAAAATTGCGATGATAGATGATAATATTAATATTATGGACTCAAACTTTCACCATAATTTTTTTTGTCACCACAAACAATATTTTCGATATACTTTACAAAAAAAAATAGTCGATTTTTTTGGCCCAGTCTAATATACATATACCTACATAAATTATGTAACATAATGCATGTAAGCATAATGCACCCTCTAATTATATTTATTACTTGTTTATATACTCATTCTATAAACGGGAACCCGTGCCGACTTGCATCTAAACCCTCCGTTAGCCAACGTTAGGCGCGCGGTATTTTGTAACACGGTTGGTCGCGAGGTCTTCGATCGTAAGTCATTTTGTGTTTGTTATTATGTGACCCTTATATTATAAATTATTGACAAATGTTAAAATATAGTTTTATTTATGTGTATACTTTGATAAAAATGTATATTTTCACAGGGAGTGGCTAGTTACCCGGAAGGGTCTGGTGAATAGGCCGTAAACTCTGAAATTGATAAACTTAATGGTTTTACTCTAAATAACTAAAAGAGTCTATTGTGAGAGATGACTACCGAAAACTTATTGAACTGTCTGAAATATTTTTGGGAGGACATCAAGAAAAGAAATGCTTATAAAAAGCTGAAATTTCATATAACAGTATATTTTAGCAATACAAATTAGTATATTAATATATTTAAGGGATAAAATCAACTAAATTAGTGAAACAAATGATAGAAACAAAAGCAATAATATTAATTAGTAATCGTATTGAATAAAATCATTAGAAAAATACAGTCATTAAGTATATCTTATTTTTAAAGTGTTTCGTGTTACAAAATAACGCGCGCGCCTAACGTTGGCTAACGGAGGGTTTAGATGCAAGTCGGCACGGGTTCCCGTTTATAAAATGAGCTGAAATTTTTACTGGGAGTATATAAACACGTAATAAATATAATTAGAGGGTATGCGTAAAAAAAATAAAAATAAGGGACACCTTAATGTACATACATACATAATTTAATAAAATGTTTCTGCAATTTTCTAGGTTACATGGTGTCTGTATACAAGGTGTTCGAAGGAGACGACCGGGAAATATTCGAGCGCAACTGGCTGTATTGGACGGGGGCCCGGATGATCTACCGCTACCTGCCGGCGCAAGCGGGGCTGCGGAAAATATCGCTGCATAAATCCCTTAGTCCCAAGGGCGACAAAATGTACATACTGTTGTGCGAATGCTCGAATTTATTAAGTGACGTCGGTTGTTGTGCTTTAATCTTGCCGGCACTGCGGGCCCGGCTCACCGGTTACACGGGCATTTTTCGGCCTCTGCAGACATTCTAATGCATAATATATGTGATAAAATTTATATCAAACGAAATTGATTACGCCGGTCAACGCTAACTTTAAGTTTGGGTTCTAAACCCCGAAGGGGTTCCGGTTCTGGATCTGAAAGAATGATTCTTAATGGTCCTGATTAGGGTTTTAAAATTTCCGGAAAAATTGAGCCGGCAAAAAAAAACCGTTTTTTTTCGGAAAAATTGGTAAATTTTCAGAAAAATTTACATTTTAATGTTTTAAATTTTATTCAAAATGTAATACGAAAAAATGCATAAGTAAATTTTTTTGAAAATTTTCAAATTTTTACCGTACACTGATATCGAGAAAAAAGTGAATTTCCGACGCTGATTATAATCATACAGGGTGTTTCAAAAAACATGCGCCAACGCTCGGCTGGAGATTCATTATCCAAAAATAAGGAGAAAATGTCATATAAACGTGGGTCCGAAAATGCTTAGTTTTTAAGATGCAGGGTGTTAAATATTTTTATTAAAAACGGCTTTTTTAAAATATCTTAACACATTCGCGGACACTTCCAGATTTTAGAGGTTACTCAAAAACACACCAACTTTTGTCTGCAATTGCAGACGTCTGCTATAACAGACACGTCCTTGTATATCCCAAAATTTTATATTAAGGGACGTGCGTCTGTAATTGCAGACGTTAATAAACTAAATGCCGGTTTCGGTAATAAGAAGAAAATCGTAAAAAACATAAACTTTATTCAAATAAATAATAAAAACTACAACAAAATAAACTTTTAATCCAAGTCTTTGTCATCTGAACCAGCAAATGGATCTTCTATACTAGTACTGCTTGATCTATCACCCTCAGGCTCTGAAGAAATGACGTATTACGTATGACGTAATTTACGTATCCCTATAGGGCAATACGAAACATCATCTCTTTTGCCAATGATCTTATACGTATTTATTCAAAAACCATTTTATATATTGAATATATATATATATACTATATAATATATATACTATTATTATATATTTATGATTATTAAAATTTTATAACCAAATATAAAAAACCGTATTTAGCTTAGGCAGGAATATTTCCTTAGAATAAAAATAAATAAAAATATTTAAACAAACCCTTATTAAAAATATAGTATCTACTTACCGAGAGTTAAAATCGAAAAAAACAACTTATAATAACATTTAAAAACAACAACAAAATAAAATCGAAATTTACAGGAACACTTCATAACCTCTTCCATTGGCCGTTATGAAGCTATTGTCTGCTTTTGCAGACATGACGCTTTTCGTGAGAAAACAATCTGCGCGGGAACTATATATTTAACCTTAAAATGTATCACTTAGAGGGACACTTTTCTGCTAAAAAACTTGATGTACAGGGACAATATGCTTCCATTCATACGTATTTAATAGTAAATAGCGACTGCTAATGCAGACATGCGTTTTTCTGTGGTTTAAAATTTGTCTGCAATTGCAGTCGTGTCCCTACACATGTGTCTGCAATAGCAGTCGTGTCCGCGAATGTGTTAAATATCCTTTGGCAGATTCTGTTGAAATTTGGCAACGTTATTTATAGTAATAAGTAGCTAATTTTGCTTTAACTACGATACAATTTTCAAGTCCAGTGGCGTCCCGGGGGGCACCTTAAGAAATATTATTAAGAAAAAAAATGTGCGCTACTGAATTTTTTGCAAGTTTTATATTTTTTTTTAGATTAAGCCACTAAAAATACAACTTTTTTGTCTCTTGAGTATTTTTCGTATCTTACCTCGTTTTCGAAAGAAAAAATAAAAACCACATTATTACATGAAAATTGACAAAACTCATATTTTATACTTTTTGCCATGTTTGATCTTTTAAAAAATGATTCCAACTAAACTGGAAAATTTTAACGTAGTCAAAGAAAAATTAGCTACTTACTATAAATAACGTTGCCAAATTTCAACAGAATCGGTCGAAAGATATTTAAGATATTTTAAAAAGCAGTTTAAAAAAAAAATATTTAAAACCCTCTATCTTAAAAACTAAGCATTTTCGGACCCACGTTTATATGACTTTTTTTTTCTTATTTTTGGATGATGAATCTCCAGCCGAGCGTTGGCGCATGTTTTTTGAAACACCCTGTTTAATATTAGGATTATTTTTTTTATTTTAATTCAGAATATTCTACCGGGCCGCAAAAAAACATATTCGGTGCTGTATTAACAAAACTTTTATTTAAGGGGACATTTATTAATTACGTGAGGCATTTTTCTGATAATTTGGTGAGATGTGGTAGACCCCCCTATCCCTCACGTGAAATTCTAGCCATTAAACTTTCTTTGCGGACAACATGATAAATCCAAAAAATAAAAATTGATTACTTTTTTTTGACAAATTTAAATTATAATTAGGGTTGGGACAGTTGAAATTTTCAAATGAAAATTTTAACTTTGAAAGTTTCAAACTTGAAATATTTCATTTAGTTGGAAAAGTGAAATTTTTAAAAATTTCAAATGAAATTTTTAATTTGAAAATTTCAACATTGCCTGTGAAACTTTCAGAAATCTCATTGAAAGTTTCGCAATTTACTGAAAATTTAGCATTAATTTCACATGCGGCCTCCCCTGGGACCTTTAATAATAATTTACAACAGATTCCGAATCGACCAATAAGAACGAGTTATCAAGCGTCTGGGCGTTTTTGTTTAGTTCGGCTTGGATTTGAATACACTATAAGTAATTATTGTTACTTATATGCATAAATTAATTTAAATAATTTAATTCAGTTACCAATTTAATTTGTAAATTAAATCAGACTTTAACATTTTTTTAAAAGTCATAATTCATTTTACTTTACTTTTACTTTTGCTATAATTGCATCGGAAAACGGATAAAAAATTCCTTTGGCTCATAAAATTTTGATGAAGTTTCTTCAATTTTCGTAAAATTTCAGTAAAATATATAAAAATAATAAATATAAATATAAAACAATAAAAATGGCACAATCTCATTAGCTTATCAAAAAGTGCTATATCACTCTTAGTTTTAGTAATTTTAAAATTATTTTAAAAGTAAATCTTAAGAAATTTGTGGTAAACATAGGTATTTTTTATATTATTGGTGGTCAAGGGCCCACAGAGGGGTAGGAGGTAAGAGGGGCAATTTGCCATGGTCCCCGAGTGGGGTTATTTCAATATTAATATAGGTATTAAACTTAAAGTGATTGAAATTTATTGAAAGTTTCAATAAATTTCATAAATTTCATGAAATTTCAGAAATTTAGGAAATTTTAATAAATTTCATAAATGTCATGAAAATTTCAAGTGAAATTTCAAGTACAAGCAAAAAGTGAAATTTATAATACATGTTACTTAAACCCAAAAGTTGACGAGAGATTTTTAATGATCCCCCTTCCTTAACATGAGATTTGGTGAGATTTTGCTAGACCCCTCCCCTCAATTTTTATCTCACGTAATTAATGGATTTCCCCTAACACTTCGATTTATAAAATTATAATTTTGTAATTTAACTTTATAAATCATTCACTATTTTATAGTTAGATATTTTTAATGGACTCCTTTTTGCAACAAAAATTCCAACAGACAGTATATTTCACGTTTACGTTAATTTCTTAAATTTAATTTAATGTTTAGTTTTTTTTTTTTTTTGTAATAGTATTTTTTTATTTAAAATAATGTTAACTTGTTCATTGCCACTTTTTTTCAAATGTGTATATTTTCCAAAAAAAATTAAACCCTAGTCCTGATGTTAAATTAAAGAGATTAAAAAGGGGGGCAAAGATGGCGCAAACCTAAATTTAAGTATAAGTACACTTTAAATTATTTGAATTTAAAGTAATAAAAATTAAACAAAACAGTTTAAGGGGTAATTAATTTTATTGAAAATTTTGATTTATGAATTATTGTTAAACTTCAATTTACATTAAAATTAATACACCTCCAACTGTTTTATTTAATTTATTGACTTTAAATGCAAATACCTCGATTCCGATCGGAATCATTTAATGTAGTGCTTTTTATTAACACAAAAAAGTTTTAAAATTTACTATTCAAATATTAAAAGAAAAACTTTTTGACCCAAACTTAAAGGATTGTTGGCTTGTGTATTTTCAATATTATTAGGACAATATGCAATAAAAAATCATTTTGATTTGGCTGAAACTTTTTTATCATTTTCTAGCCTATAAAAAACTCTCTTCAGAACCCAACCTAAAGTTATGAATTTTCCAAAAAAATGCCTCTTTCAAAAATTTTGGTTTTGAATGAATTTTTAATAAAAATATAGAAAAATTTGAAAAAATGTCTGAAATTTTTTTTTTATAGAGTAGAAACGGATAAAAAATTTCAACCAAATTAAAGGGGTCAATTTGGTATGGAATATGGATAATTAGTAAACTTTATGAAACCATTTTATTATTTGCAATTATATCTGAATTGCGAAAATTGTAAAAATAGTTGTCACTGACTGGAGAATCTCCAGTGGAGATTATGGTAAAAATAAATTTTTATTTATAAGGGGTAGACATATCAACCAATATAAATGCATGAGAAAAACTTAAATAAATAAAATATTTTTACCATCACCAAAGTTTAACCCATTTTCTTTTTATATAATCTCATGCATTTAGTTGTACCAAAATAACCTGGTCCTAATTATTTAACATGATTACCTATAAAATAAATAAATACCTAACTAGAACTATTTTTAATACAAGCTATTTTTATACAAAAAACCTAAGTTAAATTTCTATTTATTACAATTGTTGGTTTAAGTTTTACTGTTTTAATTACTTTAGTACTTACTGTATTTTCTTCCTAGCCTAATAAAAAATTAATAATACATTTATATTTTGTTTATTATAATGACGTTACATATCAGTGCACATATTTAATTTTTGTTATTGTAAAAAAATCATTAAAATTAGACAAATAAAAAAATGTGATGTGATGTTGAAAAAATGTAATTTAAATAGTACAAATTACAGGATTATGTTTAAGTGTCAGCAAATAATTACTGTTTAAGAAGTTATTTATTATATTTTTGTTTTGCCGTACAAGTTAAATGCTACAAATGTGGAAAAAATGTTTAAAAAATTATTGATTGCGCTCATTTTTGCAAAATGTGTCTTATTAACTTGTATAGTAGTATTATTTTAAATTATATTTTGGTATTATGATTTAAAATAAATGTTTAAATTAAATAAGTTAAAACATACATTTTAGTTTAAAAGTAATCTCTATTTAAGTGTTTAGAAATTAAGATTAAAAAAACTTCTAAAATCAAAACTGCAATAATGTTCTTTTGTAATGAACAATGAAGTTTATTTAAAAAAAAAATCACTAGTTTTAGGATAAGGTTTGCAAAAACCCACTTAAATGTATTTTCTTTAAAAAGTTTTAGTTTTATAATTTTATTGTTAGTGAATAGTTAACGTATAAATAAATGTATAGGTACAACATACCTGATGGGAACAATAAAAAATGTTAATATTTGAGTAGTTACAAAACTGGACAATTAACAATTACAAATTTTGAATTATTGTTTAGGGCTCTAATTATATTAAAAATAAAAACCTGTTGCTTAAATCCTTTTAATTTTAAATCAGATGACTATTTATATCACATGTTAAATTATAATGTATTGCAATAAGCTAGTCTTCCCCATTTGCTTTTTAGGAATTTATTGCTTGCTTATGGTACACATATTTTACATTGTATTAACAAATACATACTGCTCAAATAAACTTCTAAACACTACTTTTACCTTAAGTATTTCTAATAACCTTTTCTTCCTCGAAACCTCTGTCTAGCATCCAACTACAAAAAAAAAATTAGTATTATAAACATAGATTAACTATTTAATTACCATTGATCTTTTGCATTCAAAAAAGGTGTTACGTAAAACCTGGCATTCAGATGGGACTGTTCCATCATTGGTTTTTAAACATTCTCTAGGTGTCTTTTTATGCTAAAATGAGAAAAAGTACCAAATTATAATGAGTTAAAACCGAGGGGGAAACCACCTCCAAAAAATATGTACACGTATTGCGGAAATCCCATGATTTCGGAATGATTGCGGTGATTTCGGAGAAATCTTTATAAATTGTTGCGATTTCGGAGGATTGCGACCGAAATCCCATGATTTCGGAATGATTGCGGAGAATTCTTTATAAATTGTTGCGATTACGGAGGATTGCGACCGAAATCCCATGATTTCGGAATGATTGCGGTGATTTCGGAGAATTCTTTATAAATTGTTGGGATTTTGGAGGATTGCGACATGAAATTAGTGATTGCAGGGCTGCAATGGGATTGTGAGACGATTTCCGTTGGGTAGGGTTGAATTGTAGACATGATTGCTAGCTTGATTCGGTAGTTAATTTGTGCAAAAAGAGTCTATATGACGTCCATGTCGCAAGATGTTATAATGTGACATGGACAATCCCCTCTAATTGTACAAAATCTACCTACCTTATTTTTTAAGCATAAAGGTATTGAGTTTCTTAAACTCACTAAAGCAAAAAAAGGAAGGAAAAAGTCAGTTAGCAAGTCTAGAAAAACCATTATACTGTTTAAATATTTTTTATTTTAATTTTAACCTTTTAAGTAGTTTTATAAAAGTAAACATTAGGGTGGAACAAAAAATGAATATTTTTAAAATTGAATAGGGGCTACATTAGACTGGGCCAAAAAAATCAACTATTTTTTTTTGAAAAGTATATCGAAAATATGGTTTGGGGTGACAAAAAAAATATTGTGAAAATTTGAGTCCATAATATTAATATTAAGAGGTCTATCATCGCAGTTTTAATTTTTTTTTCCTCAGCAAGTTTTTGTCCCAGAACTCCCAACCCAAACCTTTGAGTTTAACAAAATTTACTCGAAAATATTTTTTGAAGAAAATTGAATGCTCTACAAAAAAGGTAAAAACGAAATTTTTTGTCAGATGAACCGTTTCCTTAAAATTATGCCTTAAAAATTGTTATAGTTTTACATTTTGATCTTTTAACTTTGGAATTTTGTATTTCACTACTCGATTCGTAAACTTCCTGAGGAACTTCCATTTTCTAATAAAAAAAATAAATAAATCGACGTAAATAGAAATCATAACTTGGTGTCAAATGTAGATGGGTACTTTTTTTGCAGCTCATTTTTTTATGTAGTCATTTAGTAATTAATTCTAATTATCGAAATGTCCTGTTTATTTGTTTTTGGCGTTTAAAAAAAAATATTCACGGCTATTAATTAGAAGAAGCATGTTGATTTTTTTCAAAAACCATTCTTTAAACGAAAGAAAATCAGTGTCAGAACCTCTCAAAAATATATGAGGATTTTACAAGCCATGAAACTTTTTTTTAATTCTCTGCGCACATTCCATACCACTGGTAATTTTTAGTATTACTCTGTAGAATACGAATTAAGAAGGCTATGGCAAATTTGACACCGGGATCTTTTGTTTCGTGAAAAAAATAGGACATTGAAGTAAAAACCGCAAAACTCTTATCTCTGATAATAACTTCCCTACCCTCCAAAAAGTGTCAAAAATGGGACCAACTGAAAAATAGTCGAATTTTTTTTCTTTGGACTAATTCATTTTTATTTTAGTTAAACAGTCGCCAGAATAAAAACCGACATAAAAACACCGCTAAAGTAAAAAAAACAAAAAACGGGTCTGGTGCGCCGATAATTAGACTTAATTTTTGTTGACGTTGCGTAGTGATGTCGCGAAACGAGAAAAGAAGAGAAGTGTTTCTTTTGTCTCGTCTCGTACAGGGAGAGAAAATGGGTCCACGTCTCGACGAGAATACTCTTCTCTCGAAATAGCTATAAAATTAAAACACAAAAAAATATTTTGGATAAAATTGGTACAAAACTTTTTTCTGTTGAAATTTAAACACGAAATAAAAAAAATTGTGTAAAAGTAAAACTTTTTACGCCGAAAGTGCACATAGGTACGGTCATCTAGTATTTATTGCGCACAGATATCTGCCATTTTAAATCCGCAATTTTGTTAAAAAAAAATTATATAAAACTCATAATCAGCTACCCCAAAAATATCTTTATACAAAATTTCATCCAAATCGTTAAAGCTGAACGACAAATGTCCGCCATATTAGATCAGCCATTTTGTTTTTAGAAAAATGGATACCAAATTCCTAATGAGTGACCTCAAAAACCCCATACACACAAAACCAACCATTGGCTCTTATAAGTTATAACTGTTTTAGTGTCTGTTTAGTGATTGTTTAAGCAGTTACTAAACATCATTATTCTATTCATTAATTTTATTAATGTCAATAATTTATAAAAAATGCACATACACATACTTGTCAATAATTGAAAAACCAAACCAAAAAACAAAGTGTCAAAATTTTGTCACTTAGACGCTTTATTCACTAGTGTCTTCAATTAATTTAATCATCAATAACATATTTTTCTCAAATCTTATATTTAAAAACATTTGCGATTACTTTAAAATTTAAACCAAGTAGGTATTTTTAATGTGTTATACAGAATTACTATTTCAGGAAATTTATATTAACGGCGGCAAATAAATCAAAGGTGCACAGTACGTACATGCGTGGTGATATGGAATTCTACCGTACCTTCATTTGCAAGTTATACATAGGAAAAATACATTGTAGGTGGAACAGACAAGTCGAAGTCAGCGCGAAACGAAAATGTTCCCAGAAATTATTTTGACGAGTGGATTAGTAGACTAACATGCGACGTAACAGGTGACCTTGTTTACTGGCGATTAAAATTTTATTACGTCCAAATAATTTCTGAGAACTTTTTCGCTTTGCGCTGACTTCAACTTGTCTGGTCCACCTACAATGTATTTTCCCTATGTATATCTATATTAAATAAATATCTGTTCGATTTTAAGTACCGGAAAAATCGAGAGAGATTCTCGGCGAGAGGGGGCATTCTTTTGTCTCGTTTCGATGGAATCCCTAACGGGGCGAAATACGCTTAATAGATTAGTATCTAACTTTGATATGTACTAACCAGTCTTACCACATGTGCTGAATGATTCAGCCTAAATCGCAAAATTCACAAACACTATAAACAATTGTTTTTTAAGGTTTTTAAGGTAGGTACCAACGTAAACCTTCCGCCAATCTTATGCAAATGGCTGCAGAGCGCAGGCGTTGTCGATTTATACCCCCATCATCGTCGAATTCGATCGATTGCGGGATTGCAAGTATAGGATTTCCGCGATTGCGGGATTGCAGATAGGGATTTCGGCGATTGCGGGATTGCGGGTAGGGATTTCGTCGATTGCGAAGTGACTGCGGGATTGCGGGTAAGGATTTCGGCGATTGCGAGTGATTTCGGGCCAAATGTACACGTATTGCGGAAGGTGGTTTCCCCCTCGGTTAAAACTATTAATTTTTACTTACAATTCTACAACAATCGCTTTGAAGAAGGCACATTTTTAAATCTGCTCTTACTCCAGCACAAGCAGTTTTATCTGCAAGTTTTTCGTTTTCTTCACCATATTGCATCATTTTGTATAACTATTTGTGGAAAAACCTTTAATTAAATAAAAAAATTGCTTATTAACATGAAAAAAAACAGTTAATTTTTAATACAACGCCAATATAAATACGGTATATATTTTTCTTACTTTTAAATATTTGTTAAATCCTTAAAAATAAATTAAGAAATTGTTTTAAATTAACAGAAATATCGTTGAAAGAAAATACCAATTTTTTTTAGGTTAGGTTATTTGAACTAATGGCAGATTTTTGAACTACTGTTTTAAGAATATATTCTAGTAATGGATTGTGGTCATGTCTAGGATTGTGGAATTGACCGGTCAAATTGTTTTTGGTCAATTGACCAAAATAAAATTAAATAAAATATCAAAATAAATATTACTGTGATTTATTTGTACTTCATAGATAGGTACCTATACGTTACCAAATTTTTTTTTATTATAAAAGTTATGTCCATCTTTAGAAACGTTTGTGCGGCTTTAAAAAGTTATGTTTCGCTATTAAAAAAGGCATGTCCCGCTTTAAGGGCAAAGCCGGCCTAGCAACCCCTCGACTCGGGGAACCACCAAATTGTAAATGATGTCGGATCGCAAAAATTTTGAGATTCACGGGTAATTGTTGATACCTAAATAAAATGCTGCAAAAATTAAATATATTTTGACCGGTCAAATAGGCAGCGGTCAATTGACCATCCCCAACTCGGGAGCAGCTCGTGACACCCAAACACGAGAGATCTAAACTCGATGGGTCTAAAATTTAAAAGCGCGGTGGGTCTAAAATGTGTGGCAACGTCGCACTTCAAATAAGGTTTGGTTCACATTTTTCTTAAATGAAATGTAAATTTTCGGTCGGTTTAGACTAGAGGTGGGCCGGTTTGCGATTTTTCAAGAGCTGCGATGCAATGCGACTGCTCCGGCCGGAACACTGTGACAAAAAGCAGCGATTTTTCGAAGCAATGCGATTTGCAATGCTCCAGAGCAGTTTTGTTTGAGCAGTGCCACGGTAAAAGCAAAACACTGGCGAAAGTGCGAACGGCGAAGCAACTAGAGATAAGCGATATTTCACGAAGGGAGCAGCTCGTGACACCCAAACACGAGAGATCTAAACTCGATGGGTCTAAAATTTAAAAGCGCGGTGGGTCTAAAATGTGTGGCAACGTCGCACTTCAAATAAGGTTTGGTTCACATTTTTCTTAAATGAAATGTAAATTTTCGGTCGGTTTTTTAGACCTCACGAGTTGCTCCCCTCTGATCAGGGTTGGGTATCTACCTACATTTTTGTTTTCGACATGTAGAAAACCTTTTTCGACGTTTTCGACGGTAGAAAACGTAAAAAAGTAGAATACTGTCAAATATCAAAAAATGTGAGGTTATGCAAGTTTGTTGTTTATTATGATTTGTTAAATATTGTGAAAAATCAGACACCTACCATAAATTTGAAGTTATTTGGAGTTTTTTAACATTATTATGGTGGGAAAAAAAGGGCCACGTTTGGTTGGGAGACCCCAACATAATTTTTGGCATGAGGGCAAATTTTTATCAATTATAGAGAAGTGGAAGGAGAAGGTCGAATAAGGTAATTTACGTAGGTAGAAAACCCTATAGGTTTTCGACGCAAGTCGAAAACAAGTTTTCTACCCTTTTCTACCAAGGTAAATTACCTAAGGTTTTCTACTGACCCAACCCTGCCTCTGATATACCCATAACCAACAAAATTTACAAAGTTACTGGTGCCATCATAAAGGTACATTGATAATATCAATTTGATATTGTTATTTATATACCAAAAAGCTTTATAACAATAACAAATGATCATAGATATATGTATGCAAGTGATGTTGTATTCTTATTCTATGGTTGACTTCTAAGGAGTGATTTTGACAGTTTAAAAATATATTCAGAGATGAAAGCAGTAACAGTTGGTCAGTTTAGGATTGGTTTGTGACATGGCCATGAAATGGTTCTTCAGGGCAACACTAATACATGTCAGCGTCGTCAACCCGTCCTTTTGAAACATTCTAAATTTAGAAATAATATAATTAATATATTAGATGACCTTTTTAAAAATAATTTGACGAGTAAGCATTTAATATGTATTTTAAATATGTGGATACCTAACTAATATAGTATGTTTTCAGTACTTCCAGAGGATGCCGAAAGTCAAAACTGGTCGAGATAATTAATAAATAAAAATATCCATGTGGCCAAAAGCAAAAAATTCACGTGGCCTAATTGTTGGAACCAGTATATCATCAGTTTATCCCACCTACAGTGAGTGAGAGAAAGGGGAGAAACATACAAGAAGGATAGTAAAGTATAGTATGTGACACAGGTGTGAAACAGAATCGGCAAAACTGGAAACATGACCCCTAATGGATAGTTGTGTGCCATTGGGTCCTGTTTGACTTTAAGAACTTTTTAAGGAGCCTTATTGATATATGTAAAATAGTTTTAAAATGTAAGTATTATGTTTTAAATTCAAAACTTGTTGGCTTTTTAGCAAACCTTGGTTTTTCATTACTTAGGTTGAGTTGGTTCATAAAAAAGAATAATTTGGTTATTAGGCCTTGTGACAATACAAATTAAGCAAAAAAATGCAAAATGCACACTAGTTATAAACTTGTTAGTGTTCTAAAATATATTTGTAAAAACTTATAATTTATATTTCAAATGTTAAATCTTATAAATTTGTTAGCCTAAACATTAGTTTGTAACCAAGGTTTACTTAGTAAACCAAAAGAGAATTATTGACTATAATAATTATAGTAAACTTTACTATAATTATTATAGTCAATAATTCTCTTTTGGATGCATTTTGCTTTTGTAACGTACATAATAGCCCCATAAAATTTTTTGAAAAACGTGTTTTTAAATATATTTAGATATGTAAAAGAGAAAAATTCAACCAAAAAGAATGCAACCTCGAATGTAACAGTGGACCATTTAAAAAAATCATACTTTTTTAATGTTTAAGGTTACTTTTTTTAAAAGCTAGAATATTTTTAAATAATAGTTTATCAGTCTAAATGTTTGTTATATTAGTTTTCTGCCAAAAATTGCCCAATATATTTTTGCTTTAAATTTTATGTTTGTTAATTAAATTATTTTTAAAAGGAGTTGGAAAATGGAAGCCATGGGACACCAACCTGAGAGCATAAACCTTAATTACACAAATGCAACACAACCTACAAGTTTGAATCTATTGTACACCAACTGGAGGACATAAACCCTACTTACGTGAAATTCAATGCAAGAAAGAAGACATTCTTGCAAGATGCAGTTCTACTGCACTAGTTGCATATTTTACCCAATACTATAAACTATAATCAATCTTTGCCATTGAATACACTAAATTCAATAGTGATACTTTCACATGTAACATTTTTGTACTGCATTTTGTAATATCTTAAAGTCAAATGATACCTATGCATATTCTTATTTTTGTAAAGAAATATTAATGTCATATTAAAAAAAATACCAAACAGTTAGGTATATTTTATTATTAGTTTATTATTAGTTTAGTTTTGTAAAAGTAACTTTTTATTATTAAATTTGTAAGGTTTGTATTTTTACTCTTCAAGGAAACGACCTTTAATAATTGTTTATTGATTTATTTTCAGTTTAAAATCGTTGTAAAATCCGTAATATCCAAATAATTTTTAAATAAACAAATCATGCGTCATTTTTATTATGATTCATGTCACGTGACGTGTTGACTTCTGTCAAAATATTTTGCTTTTTGTTTGTAATGGTGGAGTTGTGTTTTTCTTCTAATCTGCGGTTTCAAAAAATGACTTATTTTAGAAAGATGGTAACTTTAACATATGGATAAACCCAGTTTTTAAGTTTGACGCACATTGCAAACAAAGGGATTATTTATAATTTATTATCTATGATTATTATTATTCATTATCTATGATTACTTCGTTGCAAAACCGGACATTTATTCGATTGCCATTTTCATAAAATAAATACAAAATGTTATACCTTAACCGGTCTTCAATCTTAGAATTTGAATTTAAATTAATGATTTCTGTACCAACTTTAATAGATATGGTATAGATGGCTCCACAATAATTTAAAAATATACGTGTACGACTGGTCATAATGTCTATGAAGCAAAAAATTTTTACTAAAAATGTATTAAAAAAACATCAAGCGGAGCGTACAAAAATGGGACCAAAAGGTCCTAAAGGGTTAAATAAAATATTTACAGACTCTGTAATACAGAGTATACCTGTGTAAAATGAAAAAGTATATAGGGTTGTTGGTACACTGAGAAAAAAATGAGACAAATAAACTGTGTAGCTAATATATTAAATAAAGTATACTTTTATTAATAGTGAATATATTGTTTATTTCCTCTAAATAGTCGAAATAATAACGATAAATATACTTTAGTAAAACTTTATGTGTCGGGAATAATAATATATTTAGGATAAATAAACTGTACCCTTGTCCCATATTTCAATTTTTTTTTTATTTGGGAACTTTTTTCTCAGTGTAATATTTTATAACATATTATAAAATTAATATATAGGGTGTCGCAATTGCGTTTAAACGTCCTCGTGCAACTGGATATGTAGACAGTTCAATTTCTGGAAAACACATTTTTTTAAATATTTAAAAAAATTGGGTTTCCTGCCGAAAATGACCCATATATGGTTTCTATAGAAACCAATAAGAGAATGAAATGGTTTGTACTGGACTGAATATGCATATGTGTATTGGTACTGGTTTTATTGGGTTCTATATGTCGCCAAATGCATTTGGGTTTTAGGGCTAAATGGGAAATACCCAATCAAACCAATTCAAGACAATTATGTTTTCCAATTGATACCAATTCACCAGATTCAAACCTATAAGACCCAATACATTACAACATAAATTCCCATTGGTTTCTATAATATATAATAATAATATATTGTTCTTAAAGGGGGCATTTTCGGCAGGGAGATGAAGAATTTAAAGTGTAGGATATATCGAAAAAGACAACCATCAGGTGAAGCATTGCCGAAATTAGAAAAATTATTGGGTTCTATATGTCGCCAAATGCATTTGGGTTTTAGGGCTAAATGGGAAATACCCAATCAAACCAATTCAAGACGATTATGTTTTCCAATTGATACCAATTCACCAGATTCAAACCTATAA